GCCCAATATTATTTCCATGACAAAGGGAAGATACTCGTTCTGCCAGAGAGTGTCATCTGCCCTTTCGGGTATTCGTTCGGCATTTATTCATTATATTAAATCTAACCTTTATCTCTCATTTCTCTGTGGTGAATGCAGCTTCTCGAGTGCAGTAACGCAGATGCGGGGCCTTTGAGAGGGAGAAGCAATAAAAAATAATCTCAGTAATATGATAGATAGCTGCTGAGGTCAAAAAATGTGTGTCAGTCCTCCAAACATTCTGGAAGAAGTTCGATTGATGCCGATGCCTAATCGGTAGCAGGTACATTGGAAGATAGTGATATAAATGGAATGATAAAACCCAAATAAACATACATATATTTGTACATATTAGACTAAGTCCGCGGCTCCGTCTGCCTTGAAGTAGTGTAAAGTATAGATAGATCGTTTTGCATTAATGTGAAGGAGATAAATGTAGTTACTTTGCAGATATTTTTAATTGTCTCAATGCAATTAGCTTGATGCAACAATAAACTAATATCAAACCTGTAATCGGAATCACAATAAATAACACGTGAAGTATCTTACAGCCTGTGTGGCGTATCTTAACGTAACCCAAAAATTATTTATTCGCAGTATCAAACTTGAAATGAAACAAAACACTAAGCAAATCTGAATCAAAACGACCACGGATGTGTCGAGATGCAATAAATATACGATGCAAGTGACCAAATGCCCTATTGATGTACTATGTCATTTCGGTCAAACCAGCGACTGAACGCTTCCGCGCCGGGCACCCTTGAAACAGATATTTTAAATCTCTTTCCCCGGATAAAAGGTAGCCTGAGTGCTATTACAGACTCTAGTCTATCTCTGGGTGTGATTGCAGCAAACATCTACACTTTCTCATTTATAATACAAGTACTAGTAGAGATAGGGATGTAGGTTATAGATATTTCGGAGAAGTAAACTACTCGGAGTGATAATGTCGGTTGAAATAGGATTGAAATCAAGCACTTTTAACTCAGAAAGAAGACTAAGAGACTACTAATGCTTCTATATTTCAAAGTCACATTCTAGTTTTGAGAGATATCAACCAAAAAAAAAACAAAGAAAATTCGTTTTCATGAGAACGCAGACCTAATGTATCATAGTATTCATGGGTTGCGTCTTTTCCCTTTTTGTCCGAAGTAACACTAAAACTTTTTATCTAGCAACTCAATTTGTTGTACCCGTTGTGCTAACATTTGTCAGGATGGATCTGCTCAAAGGTTGCTTAATTTCATTAAGAGAAGCACTGAAAAAACGCAAACATAATTTGGAGTAACGAAAAGTAGTTAATGAGTCCGCTGGCGTATTCTCAGGGGGTATGCCAGCGACGTTCCCATAACATGTAAAATCTACCTTTGAACAGATACATACATACATTGTTTATTTAGTATGTCTTCTGCGATCTAGTCCTTCTCGGGCACTAAGTATTTATGGTAATGTAGCTTTGCATGAACTTCTTTTTTGGCGGGGGAAAGTTTTCCTGCCTGAAGTGCGAGATTCTCCAGAAATGCGGCATACTCATTGAGGCCTCTTACTTATTTGCTACTCCTGCCATCAAGGTAAGTCTTGTAGAACTTCTTCATGATGGGCAGCGTTACACCAAGTTTTTATACCAAAATTATTTAGTCATCTTATTTTTCTTTACTTATGTAAATACCCAGCCTGGCAAGTAAAAACCTCTAGTTACTTTATTGGTCTATGTTTGGCTTCCTGCACCTTTCAGCATCATTCGTCTCACAAGTGCTTGAATCTCAACCCACTTGCTCTCGCTTACATGAACTAGTGTTTGTATACGTACACGTACCTACAAATTAGTACACGTACAGTATACAAAACCAAGAAAATTATTTTTGAGGAGATCCAATAGTGTTTCAGGGATATGTTCCGCCTATGGTGGAAAATCGTCGAATTGCATTTGAGTGACGTCGCGTATTTCATTAAAATTTTCGAGAGACGTAGTCGGTCGAAGCCTGAGGACCCTCACGAACAATTCGGCAACACGTATTATCACATAAATGTTAGAAACTTAGATTTTGGAGATACAATCATGTGTTATTGCAAAATTGTCCATTTCTGCTAGGCGGGCTTTGTCTTTGTTCTTACACCATTCTAAGATCCGCTATTTACAACGAACTTTGCTCCTGTGATGTTGATGCAATTTAGGATCCACCAAGCGTCTGCTTCTCATTCTGTTGCAGTCAAGCCTTGCATATCGAGAACTGAACGGGTATAAGGTATTAGAATAATCTATCAGAAAAGAACCTTTCCAGGTCTGCAAACCCTAGTCCGTACCAGAGTCATTTCAACGGGACTTCAACAGCATGCGCGGTAATTCCGTGTTTATACCTACCTTCACGATTTCAGTAGACAAGATCGGCAGAGAACCATTGTGGTTTTGTATGCCATGTATACAGAGAGAGAAAAACGTACGTTAAAGCCAGATTACAAATTAAGCCCCAGAAACTTATTCACCGTTGTCGGTGGCGACACTTTCCACTGCCAGAAATTAGCCTCGCGCCTATCAAGGCTGTCGTTGGTAAGATATTGCCTTGAGTTGCATATTTTTGGGGATTTTGTCCTAAAAATAAGATAATATGACGACCTGCTCCTCTGCATTTATGTGATTATGCTCATACTAGTGTTGCTTAAATGCAATTCTGAGTTTGTTCTGCCATGTTTTATGAAATTGCTGCCAAAAAACTACGTGTTGAGTTTATTTATTCTCTGGACGGTATAGCACAAGTTTATCGGACTGCATTATTTGAAACTTGCATACATGTTGCCGCATCCTGGATTTTGTATTGTAAAGGAATCAAACTTGGCATGAGAAACTGAGCTCTGGAATTTACTCCAATATATTGTGATGGCGATTTTGAAATAATTGCCAATACAATACGATATACACTCTGTTACCTGTTAATTTGAACCCTTTCCTTTTTCTGATCCATCATACACGTCATATGCAAATCAGTGCCACATAAGCACATAAGCTTTCCCAATTGAAATTAGCTAAAATATGGATATTTACAGTTGTCTCATATACAGTTTTTAACTGAACATATAAACGCGGTTAATATCTTACTCAGAATTGTTAATAAATTAATTTTTGAATTTTTGACCACAGTGACCATGCTAGCCGCTGATGCATGACAAAAAGATAAGCCCTCGTCATAGACTTGTGAGTCGGGTTCTCCCTGCAACATACTTGGTTCTCTCTGCATATATTATCTCTTATACACATCAAACTACTCCATGATTCTCTGCCGATACTGTATAAAGTACATTTTGTCTGCTTCACAAATAATGCAACACATTCTATTAACTCCAAGGTATCGTCCTATTGGTATTTATTTTATTTTTAAGAATGCCATTGTTCATGTGCCATCAAACATCCTTCCCAAAACGTAACTTCTCCTTAATACCCTGCGCGATAGGTAACGCGTTGCTCTTTTGTGATTTGTTTCCCTTTTTAGTGCGTGTTTCACCCCAAATCGACGTAGGCTGAAAAGGTTAGGGCTAATCCCATAAGATGCCTTTTCTATCGCCGTCAAATGGCGCGAAAATTCATGCCTGAAAGGCATTATGAAATATGTAGAAAAAACGGCGATTCGGCAGATGTTTGCTGGTTCGTTGTTGCGCATACCCAAACGCAACGAAAGAAATTTGCGTTTTATGAACTCATTCGACTGGAATATTGGACATTATATGGTCGTTTTTCTCGTATGCGGCTTTTGTGCGCACTCCGCAAATTATGACTGCGACGAGATTTATATGGGGTGTTAAAAGTTAGCCTTCATAACGTATACCTGATTTACGAGTATGTATCACAGGAAACGATAACGATTGCTCATTCCACATCATGAGCTGTAAGTATATTTGCATACCACTTTACTGCAACCCTTGCTGTCCTATTCAAAAAAATGAACCTCAGGCTGTGTTTTGACAATATGTCTATATAGTGAAATTCCAGTTCTAGCCTTCCGCTAAATGAGGCCACATACGCCTGAAATGCTGGTTACTGATAACGTTTCGGCCACCACGGGACGATGGACGAGGGTGACGTGTCTGATACGTTAAAAATAACCTCATACTTATTGTTGATTTTTTTTGTCGGAGCTAAAAATGTGGGGTTAGGGTCTGTAGGGGGTGGGGTATACGCACCTATTCGACATATTTTAGTCACAGATATGCTTGTACATTTACCCTTAAAACTTAGAAACAAATATGTCCAATAGTCGCGTGTCGTTAAATCAGAAGTACAGTCAACTTAGCTAGCGGTATTTTATGGTTCTTCGATGTCGATGTGCTGTATAATACCCCTGCATTTGATATAACGTTATTGTTTCTAACCATCGTGTTACCTTCTGCTGCTATAGCTATTACCTAAGAACTGCTTTTATCCCTCGATGATAATTACTGTGCGATCTATGGAGAAAGTTTCAAACACATAACTAATTGAGAAAATACTTGGGCGGTGGCAAAACATCACAAGAAAGTCAGGATAGTTAAGGAATCTTGTGGTACATTCCAGACGTTCTAAAACTATGTTTAACATTGAGGACTATCTAACCCTACTGGCTCTGGACCCACTGCATAGTATACTTTTTTATTGAAATGCATTGCCTCCGCATATCGTAACAATACGTTGAACTTTGTTGTTGACGTTTGAAGATAATTAATATCAATACTTTTAAGTAGAAAGCACATACAAGAATGAATATATTGAATTACCGTTTAGAAATATAGATAATCTACAGAAAGACGCTAATCTTCTTCCGCTATGACTGAATCCTAAGCAGCTTAAGTGACTTTTGACTCTCAATTGGCATATTCCCCTTAAAAGCTTTTCGTCCTGGTGCCTAGTGATTGAAGTTGGGCAATTCAAAGAGTGCTATACACAAAAATTCATTGTATGTGACTAGTTTATTTAAATGTTATTCCTTTCAAGTCATCTTTCACTTTAATGGAAAATGGAAAATATTCAGAAGAGGGCTACACGCATCCCGCACGGTATCCAGCGACCTTGCTATGACGAGAGGCTGAACCTATTCAGCTTAACTCACTTCTCCGATAGACGCTTACGAAGGGACTTGGTAGTCACAGGCAGAGCTTTGCATGGTTTCTTCAGCACTGACATGTCCTCACTTTTCCGTTGCAACGCCAATCACCTGCAAGGTCGCAACTGCAAACTAATGAAAGTGAAGTTTTGAACTACACTTCGCCAATTTTTACTGTCTAACCGAGTGTTTGACACCTGCGACAGGCTGCCCTACGGCGACGATATTAATGCATTCACGCGTTCAAGAATCGTTTCGACAGATGGATGCAAGACGAACTCTAGTTTGCTTTTGAAATGATCTTTATTCTTTCTATGTTTAATTTCTTATATCTGTTTAGAGTTTATAGCTTTTTCTCTACTCTTCTTTTATGTATAATAATATAAATAGTTTTTACGTTACTCACAACTCTAATGATTTACTTCCGAAAAGTTTGAGGACCTCAGGCTATAGTATAGAACAAGTTGTTTCCTAGAAGACACTCTGCAATTTATCAAATTGAATTTAAACTATGCGTCAGGCAGTAACTTGTGGTTACAAAGGAAGCTTTTGGGTGGGGGTGAATAATTAATTGAAGCTTGGTAGAGGGTAGGTATATGCGAGATTGTTGGATATAGATTAGATGAGTCTATGGTTTCCTGATGTTCTAGTCTATGTTATTAATTCATCTCTTTGTAGTTGCCGTAGTGACTCGTGCTTATTATTAAGGAGACAAGTAGCTACAAGCGATCTTCAGTCATAACTAGTTTCAATACCGAAATATTAGATTTATGATTTAAGGTGCTGCTCATGTTTCATATAGCCGGTTTTTTTAATCGCTACTAATATTATAAAGGTGAAAGTATGGATGTTTGTTACTCGACCACGCCAAAATGGCTGAACGGAACTTGATGAAAGTTGATACAAATATAGATTATGGTCTGACATAGCACATAAGCCACCCTTTATCTCGGGAAATAATTTTGAAGTATCTATTTGACGGGCTTCTGCCCAAACGGCTTAATGGAATTTGACATGAGGTATTTGGTGCGGAAGCGCTCAGTCGCTGGTCCGACCAAAATGAGTAAGGGTTTCAGGGCTTTTGTATCGTTTATTTACTGCATTTGATATTCGTTTTCTCAGCGTGATCGTTTTGACTTAGATTTGTGTTTGGGTATTCCACAGACACCTTGTAAATATAGGCAAATCCGGCGATCTGTTTGCGGATAAAGTTATGCCTATAACCTTCCTCGGGTACAAATTAGTGAGTGTACAAATGTCTACGTCTCTTCGTATTGTGGTTCAGATGCGATGCTGATAGACTGTGGAGACATACACATTCAAATATCGTGCATTAAAATGTTGAATCTATTACCGAAGTAACTATTGAATTAATTTGAATTTTGCATTTCTTGCTCTGAATTTCTATAGTTTTTTCATATGCCGATGCAGCCATACAGGCAGAAACCTAAATACCGAGGCATCACTATTGCTATAAGCAGCTTGAAAAGCCCTTGTTAATCCGAAGTTTGAACTGTCGGAGGTTAGAAAAACTCGGGGAAACCTCCGCAGGCCGATTGCTCCACAATCTCGATACCCTGGAAATCAGTTCTGTATTTACGTATTTCGGCAGAGCTGGGATGGGAGGCAGAGTCCTGAGGGTCCGTTTGATAGACTCAAAGCTCGGTGGCGTCATAGAAGAGTGGTTGATGCAAAACCCGTTGGTATAGTACTAGAAGAGAGCGGGATTGCAGAACGTCCGTCAGCGTGAAAGGGTCTCGAGATCGTATGTTAGACAAGTATCATCAATCGGACAGCCCTGCACTGAACAGCATCGAGTATGGATACTGTAGTCATGGCGGTAGCACCCCAAGCATGTGAGTAATACTCGGATGGGTCTTATTAGAAATTTTTACAGAGTGAGGATATTATGTGAGGTGAAATACTACTATATATACTATATACTCTTGGTTCAAGAGTAATTATGTTGAATTGAGAGTTCTGACTTTGATAACATATTTTTCTTAATTGTAAGAGCTATTTCTTCGAAACAATGAAATTACCTTACTTCGAGTGTCTGTGATCTCGAATCAATGTCATAGTACCATAGAAACTCTTTAATCAAGGCTCTTTTAGTGTGTGTTTATTTGTGACAGATTAAGCCAATAGTGATTATGACTCCGACAGCAGAAGCAAATAGCTCACTGGCAGAATTCGACCATCCATCGAAACAGCGTGTACGCTAAGAGCGCATCTTGTTAGTGTTTTCAAAGAATCAAATTGTAGGAGACTGTTGCATCTCCAAGAAGAGATAGCTTTCAGATCATTCGCCACACAGGAGGTCGCTACTAATCTACTTCTCGCCAGCTCATCGGCAGCGGTCGGCTTGGCACTCTGAATGCCTGCGGGTATCGATTGAATTGATCGCTAATAATTTAAGAAATGATATAATCTGGGAAAACGTCAAAATCAATCATAAACCACGGATTTATAACTTTCGAGCTAATCAAATTTTGAAGTAACCAATTTCATACGATCGGTTTTTTAAACATTGCTATAAGTTCGTTTCTGACGAAAATTGAAATAATACGGGATCGTTTTTCTTAGGAGCCCATATGAATGTTATATGGATTACCTCGGGAAGTAAACGGCAGGTTTCGTCCAAACAAAATAAAAAATGTAATACAACACCCAGAAAGCATGTGTAAAATATTCAGTCATTTATATAGGGTGGAAACGTTATGGTAGTCATTATTGAAATGGGTAATAGGGGGGTCAAAACAAGTCAAAAAGTTCATATGACCCAGGGTCCAAAAGTCAATAGATTTCTGTCTAAATGGCTTCATAGTTTTCGACTTTAAGTGCTTTATATGGACCACAATACCACAATCTTACTAATTTTTATAATCTAGTCTAAAACATTTTTGACTTGGGTAATTAGCAAATAAATGACATTAATTTTTTCTAAGTTAAGACAAAATTTGTAGTCAGTAAGTAAGCAAGTTTCATTAAATTGAATATTTAAAACACACTTGACAACAGCGCGTCGGCCATCATCACTCATATTGAACCAGCAATCGTTTGCAAACGGTAACAGTGGTTAGTATGTATTGTTTTTGTTCGGGCACGTCGTGGTCTTGATTTACAGAATTCAAATCTTGCAGCTCAAATTTATCGCGACAGATTTCGCCAACGGGTACACCCAGACACATTTGTGCAAGTGTACCAAAGACTTCGAGATACAGGAAGTGTTCAGCTCACAATATTCGCACTCGTGAAAAACAGGTTACTGTAGAGCAGGAGGAACAAATTTTAAATATCATGGAAATCAATATGCAGATATCAGCTCTCGGGAATTAGGCCTCCGCGTAGGACTATCGCATACCATAGTCTATAAAACCCTACGGGATAATTTTCTTTATCCCTACCATGTACAACGAGTGCAGGCCTTGTTACCAGAAGACTATCCTCGCAGACTAACATTCTGTCAGTGGTTTTTGCACAGAAACATCCGGATTTTTTTAAAAACATTCTAGCTACGGACGAATGTACTTTTACGCGAGACGGGATATTAAACTTCCATAATACTCACACGTGGGCCCAAGAAAATCCTCATACCATTCGGGAAGGTCGTAATGAAGCTTGTGTGGAAAGTGGAGGACGACATTTTGAACACCTTCTTTAAATACAAAAAAGTGCAGTGTGGGTTTTAAAAAGAAAGGCAATATATGTATCAAAATTGTGTTCCCTATTTACAAGTGGATTTTTTTATACGTTCAATAAGATAATAATAGATAAATAGTTGAGGTCGTGGTCGAGAGTGAACGTGTATATTTCGTCTCTGTTCGCTTCATGTTCCTGTAGAAAAATTAGCGGAATATTTTAGGTAATGATTATACCAGCCCTTTCTACAGTGCTGCCGGTAAAATCTGTGTTTGTTTAAGTAATTTCGTAATACGTAGCCTCAATAATGCTGCACGTTTGAGATGCATTTATTGTAACACAACTATGTGTCGTATAAAACCTGCTGTTTTTTGCGAGGCATGTAAAAAAAATGCTCATGCCAGCTGTATTACCAATTCCATTGATATACTGAGTGTCTTAAAAAATGTCCCTGTTTATTAACGAAAAGAGCGTCAATACAGTGCTGCAGAAAAAAATTTATGCTTCACTTGTTGATGAAGGGCAGGTCCACAGTTACTAATTTGCTTCATCTTACTCAATATGTTTGTGAATCAATCGATAGACAACTTCAAACGGATGTAATATATACTGATTTCTCTAAAGCGTTTGATAGTTTAGATCATAAGATCCTACTCAATAAGTTATCTAGATTTGGTCTTTCAGATGCATTGATGCTATTTTTCGGATCTTATTTGTTTCATAGGAAACAGTATGTTACGTGCAATGGACATAAGTCAAGCGAATACCCTGTAATGTCCGGTGTTCCTCAAGGATCTAATTTAGGACCTCTGTTATTTATTATGTTCTTAAATGATATTTCTGAAGTGATCGATGTCGATTTTCTTATATATGCTGACGATATGAAACTTTTCTGTAGAGTCTCTAACATTGACGACTGTCAACTGGTGTCGTGAAAATAGACTGGTTTTGAATGCTGCTAAGTGTCACGTTTTGTCGTTTACTTTAAAAACAGAGGTAATGATGTATGAATATAGTATTGGTGACAGAAAACTTGACAGACCTAATACAATTAATGACTTGGGAGTCACATTTGACAGAAAACTTTCCTTTTCCTATCACATCGAAAATGCTGTTGTGGCTGCATCAAAGGCGTATGGTTTTATTGTAAGAAATACTGGTGATTTCCACAACTCCTTTACACTGAAAATAGTGCACTATGCTTATGTAAGATCTAAGCTTGAGTATGCGTCCCTGGTATGGTATCCTCATCATCAAATATATATTGACCGCTTAGAGTCCGTTCAAAGCAAGTTTTTAAAATACCGCTCATACGAAGCTGACGGGATACATCCTGCTATTGGCTTTCCTCATAGTGAGTTGATAATGAGACACAAAATCTATAATTTAGAGAGCAGACGCAAAAAGAATTCACTTATGTTCACTCGCAAGCTCATCCATGGCATTATTGACTTCAGTGTCATCTTAGAACAACTTAACTTCTTAGTTCCTAGATTAGCGTCTCGAACTGGTTTAACTTTTTACTTAGCCAGGCCTACGTCTGACATACTTAAGTTTTCCGCTATCTATGTAATGTGCCGTAATTATAATTCAGTTAATAGCGTTTTAGATATATTTTTGTTTTGTGCAACTTTGGGAGACATT